AAGATATTATTTCGAACAAGTGAAAAGATGTCTGTAAAACATTTTTTCGTCTTGCCGAAAAAGACAACATAAAACGGATATGCAACGAAGATGTGTGCGTAGTTATGTATACTAGAGACCGTGATGCCTGAGTTGGAAACACTTCCTATTTTAATTTTTAAAACTTTATTTTGATCTTTATTTCAAATGTTTCATTGTGTATGAAACATTTGTGCCATGCTTACAGGGGACGAGATTCTGGATTTCTTCATTCTCCAAAATATTATAACTAAATTAAAAACACTTATACACATTACCAAAATCCACATATAATTTATTTTGAATACAATTTTTTTTTATCTGATATAGAGTTACGTTGCTGAAATTTTATAATTTACACATTTTTATAATTTGTAGATTACATTAATAAAATTAAAAACTATATTAAAAAGATCATCAAATTAATTAATCATATAACGCAGTAAATGATTGATTGATGTCTCGTATTTTTGGAGGCATTCTAGGCATTTTCGAATCAAATATTTAAGCATTCGCAGGTGAACATGCGATCTTCACCTATAGAAAACTTGATGTTTCAGTTTGAACTATTCGGAATATATCATATCTTATATCAACTGTTATCATAGATAACATTTATTATATAATAGACATTACGAAATGATTTATACACAGCAAAATTCATCGCTGTTTCCCAGATCTATTGCATTAAGAAAAAGAAATTATTTAAAATACAATCGCAATCGATGGTCGAAGATTGTTCAAATCATCCTGAATTTTATACATAATCGAGAATATGATTAAGAAATTGATCAAATAAACTGTTATCTATGATAACAGTTAGATTATCATAGATAACAGTTATCTATGATAACTGTTATCATAGATAACAGTTTATTTGATCAATCTGTTCGAGAGCGAGGCGAAATAGGAAAAGAGTGTGCGAGGATCTTTTGGCTCGCCGAAAATAAATCTCGCGAGTACAGTTCACGTTTTTTAATTACAACAAAATAATTAACACGATCACAAATTCTACAAAAGTTCCAAATAAAAGCTCGGTCGGTTATAGGCGTTTCACAAAAGAATAGCGGTTGTCGTAAGCGGTTTCACAAAAGGAATAGCGGTTGTCGTAAGCGGTTAACAAAGCGTGTCGAAATGCAGTGTAACTAAATATGCGATAACTAAACGCGTATGCGAGTGTTTCAGGCGCTCCTCGCGAGCCCTGAGCCGTGCAGATTGCGATGGAATAATAATGCGAAGCCCATGTGACAAAGAAGAAATTAATTTAAATGTAATTTAATGCAATCTCAAACACAATCTCTTAATAATATTCTCGATTATGTATGAAATTCAGGATGATTTGAACGATCTTCGACCATCGATTAAATTTAATTTGTACAGAACAAACAGAAATATGTTGGATCATTTCATTATTCAACCCGACCTTACGAAAAGCTAAAAGAAGTACTTGAAGATATCGGGTTTCAAGTTCATCATTGCAGTCATCGAAACAAGAGCTCATTTAATACACAACAGTTTGTATGTAAGTATTTGCTCTCAATATGCATGCAAAAATTAAATTCTAAACAAGATTATTATTTGAATCATAAATTTTTTATCATATTACTTTTTTTCTATTCATTTTATAATTTTTTAACTATATTGTTTATTTCTACAGCTATGGTTACTTCACAACACACTTTTGCATTTTTGGATAACATGCCGCATAATCTAAGGGAGGAATTCATGAATGAGTTTGCACGTAGATTCCAGGAAATAAAAGTTAAAGAATACAAAGATAGACAAAGTGATCATAAGCTACATGATGATATTCCTTTTTATCACACTGTACTAGTAGCTTATGCACAAAAGTGTTCATAATTATATCAGCCTATAATTTATAAGGGGAATTGGCAGAATGTTTGTCTTTCCTTTCTCTCTTCCGAGCAAAGTTTGAAACGCTCGAGAAGAATGTTTATCTTCGTTTATTATATAATAGACATTACGAAATTATTTATACACAGCAAAATTCATCGCTGTTTCCCAGATCTATTGCATTAAGAAAAAGAAATTATTTAAAATACAATCGCAATTAATGATTGAAGATCGTTCAAATCATCCTGAATTTCATACATAATCGAGAATATGATTAAGAGATTGATCAAATAAACTGTTATCTATGATAACAGTTATTAACAAATAATGAGTAGCAGTGATATATTGTCTCTGCATAGACTATCGACTATCAAATAAGATGTATCGAATTGGGTCCATCATTGTTTCACGATGGCACTCAATAACGAGGATATTTAGTTAGCAGAGGATATTAACCGTTTCCCTTATAATATCGAGTGAATATGATGCGCAGTGCCTTTACGACTGTTTCAGGTCACGTCTACCTACGGTCTACGCTGGATTTTGCTTGTGCCCTCATAGATATAATATATCTAGAATCTAGACCAAATGATAAGAGTGAAAATTAGGCAGAGATAGCATTATATGACCTACTGACTTCTATTCATATTTTTATATAAGCCTGGCGTATACGTGTGGGATGATAAAAAGGGCATTGCCTGATCTTAGTCTCCTTCCTTTTTAGGCTATCGAAATCTTCATTTTTTATAGTATAATCACTTCTAAAAGTTTAGTTGATACCACATAGTGTATGTATATATGTATATAGTCGACACCGTTGCCACCGTAAACTTTTGACGGTTGTACCATTAAAAAAGAAGGCCTACAAGAGAAAGACATGTGGCGACTCGTGTATGCGACTCGACATATATTCCAAAAACTCATCCTCTCTCAACATCAACTCGTTCGTGACTAACGATCGAAACTCAACAGTAAAACATTCACCGAATGCAGCTTTACCCATCGAGACCACTGCTACAGCTGTGGCGCTTTCATTACCGACATGGTCATCTACATCGACTCGGAATACAATTCAAGTTTCTCATCTAGCTAAATTCTTTTCGCATGTTCTTCCTTAGCGATCGACGAGACCGGTTCGCGCGTGTGTTCTTCCGTCGTTAAGCAACCATGATTTTGTATTACTCGTTTCATTAAATTACGGACTGTGATAATAAAGATATATATAGTTTTTTGTCTTCCCGTGTACTTTCTATCCCATGTAGCAAACCCGCGGCTACAGACAAGGATCACGTAATGCCCTCTTTGTCATCCCACATTTTAAATAGCACGGCGCTTTCCAGTATGGAGTTCAGTGGTATCACTATTCTATCTTTGTCTTTTTATCCCCTCTACTTTTCTGTTTCTAAATTAACGAAGGCTTCTTTACCCCACCATACATCGTTAGAAAAAAACAGATTGCACAACAATTTTCTATTTTTTGATATGTTCTAACTACAAGAAATGTAGAGATCGCGCGACCTACATATTATACGTCCATGTATACGTCCTACGGTGCTATTATGACTGCGACTGTCTTAGATATTATATAATATATACTCGTATACAGGATGTCCGGAGTCAATCGCATCACCCATCGTGTGCAGATAGAACAGGTGAAACGTCCTTTATCATTTTGCAATTTTCGTAACTATTATTGAGAAATTAATTAAAAAAGATCGACTAATTTGCGTGAGTATAAGCGCGTAGCACTTATAGTGTTTTAGACACTAGCGGCTCGGGACCGCGGTTGCGTCTGTGATCGCGATTTGCTACGCTCCAATCATACTTGCAATTGGTGCTTTCTGATTGGCTGAGGCAGAATCGCAATCGCAGATATAAGCGGGGAGCATACACTTTTGCATAAGCGCATAATCATAAGCATAAGAAAATTGATTGGTCCATTTCCTTATGCATAACGCTATTGACCAATAAATTTTCTTATGCTTATGATTATGCGCTTATGCAAAAGTGTGTGCTCCCCGCTATAATTTCAGTCGCGACTGTGAGCCGCTAGTTTGATTCGGGCTTTAGGCCGCGTTTGAAAACGCCACCCGTGTGCACACGAGCATCGTTCTATCTTTGTTCAACTTTCAGACAACGTTCGTGTGCACACCGGTGGTGTTTTCGAACGCAGCCTAAATGTAGTCATATAGTTACTCACGTTCGCTGATTTCAAGAGATGAGGGCACTTTGAAAGGCTCCTACCCAGACAGCACAAAACGTCCTCAGGATCATCCTGAATATGTCCAGGATGGTTCAGGATATTTGTAGGATGTTTTAAGATATTATTATAAATATATTTTATGAAAATTTAATATGCATACATGATTACTTTCGGTTATGTAGGCTATTTAATATAATTTAGAAATTTTAAGTATTGTAATAAGTATTAATGTCCTATAAATGTCCATTGGATAACCCCTGGATGTCTGTAGGATACCTGCCCTGTCTATTATATTGAATGTCCTTTGGATTTCCAGAGGACATATACATGTGCAATTAACTGTTAACATTAATTTCGTTTAATATTAATAATTGAATTTGATGCGCACATTTTCACATATTCAAAATTATTATTTATTTAATAATTTATGAGAAATGTTACTATGCGCAACATTCCAAAAACTTTACAAAAAATAGTATTCAACCGCTAGTTCGTTTGTTTACCGCTATGCGACGCGCGAACTCGTATTTGAGATTTGGTCATGAGAATTATATAAAGCTTGCAAAGAGCAACTAACAGGAAATTAAAAATATAATTATTTTTTATCAGTTCAATTTTTCTGATGCAATCCCAACATAGGGAATTCAGATTCAGATATTGGATTGTTTTGAAAATATTACACATAAACCTAAAATATTTATGTACAGCACGAAAACCTCAAATATTAAAGAACGTGAACTATTTTTAGTATTAGATTTTTAGTATTGGCAGTAAATAACAGAACGCAATCTTAATTTATATTTAAATTTTAGAATTTGTTCTTTTTAACGTGTGAAAAATATCCCTAACATATCCTATAGAAATCCTTAAGATGTTCCACAGATGTTTCACAGGATCTCCCTGGATTCTCCAGAGGCTAGTGTATGGCTATCATTTACTCTTCCTCAGGACATCCAGAGGAGATCCGAGGATTAAAATAGGATATCCTCAGGATATCCTACATGTATGTCCTGGATGCCCTTTGGACGTCCTAAGGACATCCTTGTGCTGTTTGGGTAAGGAACCAACAAATCTGCTACCGGAGGTTCACAACTCGATATTTCCATGGGCGAAAACGACATGCTGATATCTGTGCCAATGTCTGGAACTGGTAAAGGAACATGTACGGTATCTGTAATATAAATAAAAGAAATGTATGTGTTTCAATTATTTACATTCTATCATTTTTTTATCAACAATGTAATTAATACTTTTTGTTTCAGAAAACTCACTGACCAAGGTACTGATTATTTGAATTGATGGTTTCATCATATTAGAGGATTCGGCAGAGACATTGCATATTCGCTTCGCATATTCATGCAGCGGCTCACAATCTCCTGTCGGAACGTCACCGAATTTCGTGGGCACGGCTTGCTTTTTAAGTTGCGGATACTTGTATATGACTTTTAATAAAAAAATACATGATTTGAGTAAGAACTCTTTTGAAACCGATATGAAATTTTTTCATTTTACTCACCCGTGCAATTACTTGATCATTTGTGTCAAGCTTAATCCACTCACGGGAAATATCTTTTTCCTGTTTGTCACATATAACGTCCGTTTGGCGCAACTTGACTATACCTGGGATAGCCTCTTCCCATTTCTTCCATATAACCGGGTCTTTCGGTACGCCAAATAAAGACCGCTTTATTTGTTCCGTTCTGCTGCCGGTTTTACAATACGGTACTGCGCACCACCTCGCCATTTTTCAAAAATAATCTTTTACGAAAATCACACGCGTATTTACAACGGCTCTCGGTTTCCAAGGTCTTTTTTTTTTTTTTTTTAATTTGACATTTCAGGTAGGTTACGTTTATCTGGGAAAAGTTATCACAGCGACGAATAGTGGCTGTGTTAGGAACTAAATATTTCCTCAATAAGCGACCATACCCCCACTACTGAAATTGCGGCCAGTTTCAAGACCTGTATGTAAGACCGTGCTTTAAGGTGATATTAGGTCTGTTCTTTATAGCTGAACTGGCTGCACTAGTTCAGAGCTTATCTTTCTCCTTCTAATGGAGAGAGAAAAAGATAAACTCTGAACTAGTGCAGCCAGTTCAGCTATAAAGAACAGACCCATTTATATCATCGTACGACGAGTTTGTTATTAGATGTTTTGATTGGCTATCGGATAGAAAATTTCTAGGATTCCCAAAGTTTCTTATAGCGTTTTCGAACGAACGGGTTAATCCAAATCCGATCAATTAATCATTTATATTTTACTATGAATTTAAGTCTTTTATTGGCAGAGACGATGCAATGACGTCATTAATCGCTTTCAGAGCGATTAAACCTGCTTCATTCGAAAACGCTATTAGTATAGCTGTCAATCAGTATGTCCGATAAAGCTTCTCGTTTGATAAACGAAATATTACCTTAACATAGAGGAGGGACCAATCAGAATACAAGAAATAGAAGGATTTCTTTGTCCTGATTGGTCCATCAAACGATTCGAGTTATCGCAAATAAAATGCATTCTGTATCCAATATGGCGAATTAACGAGTATCAATTTTAATTCGCGCCATTATGTGTGTGTTGTGTTTTTCTAATAAACGTGCCGGTCCATCGGATTTCAAAAACTCAAATCTAGAGATTTGAATCTTCAGTTTGTTTTATCAAATTATGTTCTCCTCTTAATTTTTCGAAAATACGTATTATGCACTTCGCGTAATTTAGAGTTTGCACGTTAATTTCTATCCATTATTATCTAATGTGAAATTGTCCAAGTTCTTTCAATGTCGAGAGAAGCCTCATCTGATTGAAATCTGCAATTTATTTTACATAGGTATATATGTGCCTTTTATGAATTATCCCAGACAGCACAAGGATGTCCTTAGGACGTCCAAAGGGCATCCAGGACATACATGTAGGATATCCTGAGGATATCCTATTTTAATTATAATAATATCTTAAAACATCCTACAAATATCCTGAACCATCCTGGACATATTCAGGATGATCCTGAGGACGTTTTGTGCTGTCTGGGACATTTCTCTGAAGAGCTCACAAAATTTAAAACGGAATTTTAATACTCTTGCCAAAGTATATTCTACTGATAAAAGGAAAAAAATCACATGAAAAGATCGAATATCGAAAGGTTTCGCTTAATTATTGTTATATTATTATTTCGATCGATAGAATAATTCTTTTGAAAGAGAAAAAGGAAGTTTCGAAAAAAGTAAAAGGTGCCACAAAAAAAAGAAACAGGTTTAAAAGATCATTGCCAGAATATATTTCCTATATTAATTATTTTTTCTAATGGCAACAAATCGTCACGTGTTTGCCATTAACTACAATATCGCTCGGCTCATATATACTATCTCTTTCTCTCTCTCTTTCTCTCTCTCGCATTTATAAATATGAAAACGCACGCTGCAAATTGCAAAGTGAGGAAGATACTCGTCTATACATATATCGTTGATCGCGAAAATGCTTCTTTAGATATTATATTTGCCCGCATTTGTGCATTGTTGTTGTGTTGTTACTTTCGCTTGTAAGATACGATAAGTATTGTTATACTTTTTAAACATTTTTGTGATATTATGATAAATGAGGTTTGTTCGACAAATGAAACATTGACTACGTTTATACGTCAGTCTTAATCGGGTTTAATAACAGTTCTAAAACTAGCCAATCACAGTCATTCCATTTTTCAGAGGAATAATCGTGATTGGTCAATTTTAAAACTACGGATGTTATTAAACCCGCTTAAGAGTGACGTGTAAACATTGTCTCTCGTAGAAAGAAATTCTTTCGACTCCTTCGAAAGATTTCACAAACGTTACAATTTATGGTACGACAGATATACATTTCTACTCAAGCAGAACAGAAAATCACAATAACATCAAAATGACATCAAAATGACATCATAATGACTTTTGATAGTCATTGTAATGTCATTTTGATATTATTATGATTTTCTGTTTTGCTTGGGTACTGCAAGTATTTTTTTTACATTTCTATCATCGCGGTCGTATATAAATTTCTAAATAAGAATAAAATTATTTAAAAGACATTTAAGAAATATTCTGAAAATTATTTTAAAACTGTGAAGTAGACGCGCAAAACGCAGATATTTTCAAAAGTTTAGAGAAATAATAGGAAGAGAAATTTTTCACACAGAAAATTTTAAAATCGCTCTTGATTTTTACGAATTGATTATTATCACGATAATTACATATTTGATTTGTATTATGGATATCGTACGGATCGTAAAGGCTCCCTATCGCAAGGATCCCTCTAGTGGTTTTGTAAAGGTATGACAATTTGGGTTTTATTTTTTTTGCCGATTTTGCAAATTTAAAAGAAACGGAAATGCAATAAAATTATTACAGAGCCATTAAACTGTTCATTCACATATGGATGTATACGAGTATTATGCGAATCACGAAGCGTGGCGTCCGTTCTTGGATTGCCTTCTTGCTTAATTCTATCTTCGCTTAGCTCTCTTTTTACTTTGGCCATAAGACATTCCCTATAGAACCATTCGAGTGATTATTTTGAGGCTATCTGCAAAGCGTTATTAAAAATTAAAAATGAAGGAAAACTTTGAAATTAAATATTTATTTTAAT